ATGATGTGAAAACTCCCACCAACTATCTTACAAACTTTATATATATTGTAAGTAGTGCTTTCCAAATTTTAAGTCAGTAGGCAGAACTCTCCTCCCTCTTCCTACAGTTACTGTTCTTGGAATCTTCTGTACAGAGAAGGGAGATAAAATCCCTAAGTATTAAAACAGCAAAGAAGCCACAGAAAATCTGAGTGCAGGCAAGTGCTTACTAATTTAGGAATTTCAGAATGGGCCTAAAAATCTCTGAGGCTATGATAATAAGCATAGATATAAACACTTTATACTTTGCCTTTACTTTAAAAAGCCAGTATTTTTTTCTCATTTAGGAAAGAAAACATTAAATCTGAACTTGAGGAAATTAAGCAGTGATAGGTCTCAGACATATGCTTAAAATTACAATTTCCATAATTCCTTTTTGTGAAAAGTACTTCATACTCATTCTTGCTGTGTACATTTTACACACACACACTCACACTCCTGCATTTTTTTTGAGACTAGTTACAAATTACAGCTGAGCTAAATGTTTAAAGAACCTACTGGGCATACCATGGAATTAGTGATCACAGAACTGAAAGTTTTGCCCTTTCTAATTTCAAGTAAAAGCAGTTCAAAATCACATTCAGTTGTTAAGAAAATTATTGTAGAAAATGAAAGGTAGTTGCTTCTTTAAAACCAAATCTACCTTGTATATATCGTCCCTACGCATTAGTAAAATTGAAAAGTGTACTAAATAATCCTTCTGTAGTAGCTTTTCTTCATACTTTTTCTCACGAGAAATCCTTTTCCTCTCATTGGAATAAGTCAAAAGTCCCTCTGTACACATCACAAACAAGAAATATTACCAGAGTTCTTGTGCATGAATACAGGTATATTCCTTAATCAGACATTGAAAATTGCCCTCAGGGAGACAGCACCTGCAATTTACAAAGACTTGAACCAAAAGTCAGAAAAACTATGTTTAGCACAGATGTAGGCAGACTTTTGGGTTACCCTATATTTATATCCTTTATCTTCAGCATCCCTATTACATAAATAGAAGCAGGTGGTGGTATCCCCATTTAACATACAGATAAACTGCAGCAGAGAGAATTCATGCTTCTCTTTCCAGGACTAGGTTGAAATTGAACCCCAGTTTCTTGACATCTGGTCTTGACACAGTGACAGAGGGCCATAAGTAATTTCATATAAGTTTTTTTTTTAAGATTTTATTTATTTATTCATGAGAGACACACAGAGAGAGAGACAGAGGGAGAAGCAGGCTCCATGCAGGGAGCCTGACGTGGGACTCGATCCTGGGTCTCCAGGATCACGCCCTGGACTGAAGGCGGCGCTAAACTGCTGAGCCACCTGGGCTGCCCTTCATATAAGTTTAAAATCAAAAGTAGTTACTTAAAATGAATAGTAATATTAATGAAGCACCAATTAGATTTAAAGTATTTATACTACAGAAAATGTTTAGTTCCCTTTATTATTTTTGGAATAGCAATATTCCTTCCCTCCTTTTCTGCTTTTGCAGAAAGTAGAAGGAAGGAGGATTAGTGGATAATTATATTGCTATGATTGCAGCACCTGTGTGTTATTTCTTTTGATTGGCTAGTTCTGTATTAAAGATTCCTACCAGCTAAAAGTCTCCTTCATCAAATGGTGTTTTATTAGCTAGTTTTGGCTTGAGTTGTTTTAAATTTACAACAAAAACTGTATTTCAAGTTAGACTTGTACTTTAAATTTTGCTTTGAATTCGTTTACCATTCCCTTTCTATTATCTCACCCATTTCAGTTTTTTTTTTTTAATTTCAATGCCAATGGCAACATGCACTCACAGTAGGAATATAGCTTGAGCTATCCTGTTGTTGCTAGCGATCAAGTTTGTGTATGCCACTCAATTTATAGGTACTAATAACTCTTCCCTAGAGAGTTGCCTTTTAAGGAATAAGTGTCTCATCTATTATGAGGAGATATACGAAATAACCATTTTGGATTATGGTTACCATTGCAGATGCTGACAGCACTGTTTTTAACTAACTTTATCATCATCTCAATCACAGAACATCCTGTTATGGACTCAGCTGTGGCTTAAATAGAGCTCCTTATATCTCTTTAATGTATATTTCCTAAAAGGGGTGAGAAATATAAGTACTATAAATTAGGTTGGTTTGTTTCGATGTTTGGCTACATCAAACTTGAAAAATTATAAAGAATATTTAGCTTTTAGAAGGTGAGTTACCATAGACTATAATTATTTACTAAGCTAACAGTGTTTTCTGAAGATAACCCCCCCAAAAGGAAGCTTTCAGACATTACTTGCCTAATTTGTGATAAGTGCTAGTTTTTCATTTGAATTCAACCATTCACTGACTCTGCCACGTAAACTTGAACTCTTAAAAATTGTTTTAGAGCATTTTACTTAATAAAATTTTTTGTAATTAAATACATCATGTGTTTTTACACAAAATGAATACATTATAGCTAGATAATTTTATTTTGTATAGCTTTGTATTTGAGTTTCTTCAGAGTTTTGTAAGAGTGAAATAGAATTATACTCCAGATGTATTTTATGTAGATATTCATTCCGTTATTAAATTTTACTACATTGGAAATATCCTCCTGGCTTTAGAAATATTAACATTTTCTTTCTGTCTGCCTAATTTTTGTGTAAACTCTAAATATAATAAGATAAAGTAAAATATTTCATTTATAGGCCTTCTGAAAGTAGAGCATTTTGAAAGCAGGTAGGTGTCTCCACCCTACTTTTCATGAAGCATTTTACCCATTCAAGCAGACTTTTAAAAACAGCTTGTTTTGATAGCAGACTGTTCTCCTGTGGGCCTTCAGCCTTTGCTTCCTGGCAGCACCTTTGGTGCGAAAAGAGAGTGATCAATTGGGAGACTATCAGTGCCAGCATGCATAGAGTGATAAGTTAACACACCACTGGGAATTTCTAGGGCCCACCAAGATACTTCACTTCTAATGTGCTAACAAGCTCATTTTTCTACCTCTTGCCTCTTCAGTTATTTTTTTTCTCAGAAGAGCTTAGAAGTTGAGTGCATCAGGCATAATGAAAAGCTCTGTAGGAGGGAGAAGCAATAACCCCATTTTTCCCTTTTCAGCCAAATAGAAAATTAGTTTCTGGTAATACACAAAGGCCAGTATTTTTTGTACAAGGGGCACTGCTGTGAATCAAAGGACTCTATTAACTGCAGAAAATTCGGCAGCTGTGAATCTCCCCCAATGAAAAAAGTACTTTCCAACAAGTTGTGAGATATGTGGTATTATTTAGATTGAACCATCAGTTTCATCCTCTTCCACTTATAACCATATACCTCCTTTTAAAAGTGTGCTATATTACTTTTCTAAGGTAACATTCAAAAATATGTTTCTTCCATAAAATCCTTTCCACTGATCACTTTAATATAGCATCTTCTCCTGAGAAGTAGAATTCTTCAAAGTTCAGTCCCAGTGTACAGAATTGAAAATAATGGATTGTAAGAAATTGGAATTCAGATTTAAATATTTCATGCATAAAATAAATTGTAATACAAGAAGAGAGTACTCAAGTCATTTAGAGGGCAAAAGACCTCACAGTCTAAGTAACTAGTGACTATAGTCTTACCTTTAACTCTTAGCTTTTGTCCTCTTAGTCAATAACCTTTTGTAAGTGTAACTGTGGCTGTGTTAGCTCCGATTGAATTAATCACTTTCAATTATCTTCCTTACAAGTTTTTTTTCTTGGTCTTGGTTGTAGGCTTGGTCTACAATTTCTAGAATTGTAGAACTATAGTAATTGAATTACAGTTTTTAAAAAAGAATAAAGAATTTTGAGGAAAACATACTATAATGGGTTTTGGGAAAAAAATTCAGTGAAGAAAGAAAAACCAATAAGGCAAATCTTTATTAGCCTTCATAGTTATATAAATGTCTTATGGAAAGCCAGCAACATAGCACACTGATACAGCAGGAAAACTTTTAAAAGTTGTAGAAGAAAGGTTAACTGATTTCTCAGTTCAGGAACTATACGACATGAAGTCAGCATGTGAGTTTTTCCTGATAATTGTATGTTGCTGCCTGCTGCTCTACATTTTGACAGCCATTTCCATAGTTGCTTTCGTGAACAACAGAAATATTCTCTCTCTTTCTCGCCCTCTCTGTGCTAACAGCACAATCAGGCCTGCTGAAACAGGAAGCCTGGAGTGGGTTGTTCAAAAGCAACAACACTTCAAGGTACTGGTTGCTTGTCAATAATATCAGAGAAGAAAATGTGGTGAAAGAGAAGTACAGTATTTTTCTGTCAGTGTCAGTGCCCTGTAGATGCTTTGTTAGACAGTATTTAGGAGTCCTGTGGACTCTCTGCAAATGTTCCTGCTTGTTTCAGTGTTATAATTGACTAGATATTTTTTCCTGACATACAGATTCAACTATGTATTTTTCTTAACCGCATGGAGTTATTCGCGGATTACAGCAACAGTAGTCTTCCATTCAAAATGAGAACAATTGTTGGGAAAATACAAGAATTTTAGAAAAAGAAGATATGCAGGAATTTCTCACAATAAGTCTTTACAAATGAAAAATACACAATTTCAGACCGTTTTTAAGCAGGATTCTAGTATTTATTTTGTGGCTTTTCAGAGTGAATCTGCAGATTGAAGCCGATTTAACAAGATAAAAATGAGCCTAGGCTGACCTGATAGCAGTTGAACCTTTTCTCAAGTAAATGGTTACCTTTCTTTCTTTCAACAGTTTAGTATTATCATTGTTTTCTAATAAATGTCTCTCTCTTAAGCTGCCATGTATAGTGGTATCACCTGAAGAGTAAACTTATGTTAAAAATGTAGGGGTTTTATTACTCTTAAAAAGCCATACTTTTAAATGATATGCAAGAGTAGTGAATAATTACATTTATTAAGAAATAATGGCTTAGCAATCAGAGTAGTCCTTTTTGATAAGATCTGTTCTTTTCCACTGTAAGCTGCATTTAACTACGTCCTTAACTGAAGGTAAATCAGCTATGAAGAGAGAGCACGATACCTGCAAACAATTGTCCAGCACCATTTAGAACCAACGACATTTGAAGATTTTGCAGCACAGGTTTTTTCTCCAGCTCCCTACCATCATTTACCATCTGATGCCGGTAAGATTAAAAACAAGTATTAGTTACTTGTCATTACTGGAACTTGAAATGCAATACCCTTTTGTTCAAACTCTTAAAATAATAGAAAACTTGCTTGAGTAAAAGATTCCAGTCATTGAAATACATTTTTCATTATTTAAGAGTTGAATTTGGCCTATAAATTTAGTTTATACTTTCTTTTACCTAAAAGCAGTTCCTTTAGAAGTCAACAATCTTCATAAAAGTACATGCACCACATTTTATCCGAGCTACTGGCCAATAACTGTTGTGTTTCATGGGATCATTACTAAAGTATCTGCAAAAGAAACACAAGTTGAACATGCATTCCCTCTCACCTTTAGAGGATCAAATTTTATGGCTAAGAATATTGCCTTATCTCTCAGTTTACAAATAAAGTTAAATAACTGTCTAGATTGAGAAGTACTTGGCACAGTAAATTATTTTATAATATTTAAAGACTGTAAGAGGGTACTGCATTTTTACAATTAAACTAATTTTGAAAAAAATCAGTAAGAAAATAAATGACTCATGGCCTTCCTATTCTGTAATACTTTGCACTCCTTATGATTGTTTCATTTATTTTATTTTCCCTCTTTAGATCATTAAATATCAGTTCTGTTTATCTGAAGGTAAGACAAAGTGTCAACCAAAACACCCTTTGTTCTTCCCCCATTTCCTTTTTTTTAAAAAACTAGCAAGCACTAAGCTTGTAACTCAGACAATAAGCAAATTTAACACTGCCCTCATTCATACTAAACATTTCAGAAATTGTCACTAAATTTCTTCCAGAATTATACTTACTAACCCAGGTCTGCATGAAACACTAACACTGGTTCTGGGATCAAAATAACTAATAATAGAAGCAACCCTTGGTTGAAATTAGTTACACCTATTGTATTGACCTTTTTTTGTTTCTCAGCATGAAAAAAAAATAGTGCTACTGAGCTGAAATGGTGTGTCTTTGTATTTTGTAATGTGTTGCATTGTTATTGGATATCTTAACTCATCAGATACTTCCTCTGCTGTGTGCCTTGCACTGTACTAGGCACCTGAAATACAAAGATGACTATTTTAATTGTGTTCAAAAGAACAAGAAAAAAATAAGATACTTGAAATTCATCATAAGAAACCTTCAAATTCTCTTTATGATATGTAGGTTTTCTTTATTAAATAAATTTAAAAGGCATAGTAGCCCTTTTCTGGCCTAGTTTATTCGGAAGGGAAAAAAGACTAATTCTCAATTGAGATTTCAGTTGATAAAATTTTCCATTCCTGTAATCATTTAATTGGCCATTATAAAAATTCTTTCCAAAAAATTTAGAGCCCTTTCATAATATAAAAGACCTAGCAAAGAGGAAAATTGTCTAGACTAGGTTGAATCTTTTGAAAGAGATTAAAAAGTCTTAAGATTTACATCAAGGGGTCAACCCTATCTAAAATAAGTTTGGCATTAAGAATGATGGTAAAAAAATATATATATATATACTAAAACCAAAATAACGAACAAAATAAAAACTAGTTAAGTACAACTGGGAATTTCATTTTTCAGTAAAAAGTATCTGAAAAACAGCAGACTACATTATTAAAATAGATATGAATAATACTTTCATGTATCACACAGTTGAATCGTAAGTTCCACAACTGAAATATATTGATAATAGGACCATATTCACACTAACTTGCCCCCTGAGATTTATAAAAGCCATCAATTTTCATTTTGTAGTTGATTACCAACTGGAGTCCTTCTTAATGTTCTCATATTGTGCATACTATCCTGCACATTTGGCCAGATATTTAATATGGGAAGTAGTATTCTCACTTTCTGAGACACAGCAACCAAGTCAGGGTTCTTTTGGCTTCATTTTTTTATGTATTTTACTCCTTTATTAAATTTTTGTTATCTCAATTGTAATAAGGATGTGAATTTTAACATAATACTATTCTACAAAAAAAAAAACAAAAAAAATACTATTCTACAAATTATTTTCAGTTAATTTTTTTACATTGTCTTTGCCTGTAGGAGTCATCCTTATAAAAACATGCATTCTAAGTTTTAAAAGAGTATTTTTTATCTGTAAATAACTTATTTTAGTATTACTGACTACATTTTTGTGGGTTTTTTGCAGACATTAATTTTTATCAGAGTGGTTCTCAATACAATACTATAAAAGCGAAATATTTGCTCCTTCTATAGTAGCAAAAACATGATATCTGAAGAATGATTCTCTTTTTCTTTCAGTCATCTCAGATTTTTATTTTCCTACCATAAACCACTCCATACAGATAGAGTTCCCTTTAAAGTTATAAGTCAAAGTGGGAGAAAGAAGAAATGAAAGAACCATATCATAGCAATAGGGATGTTACTGATGGTTTGCAAAAATTACCTAATACTGTGAAGTTTTTTAGATTCATTTTTACTTTTTTAGCATAATGATAAAATGTAATTGTCACGCTGAAGAAATGCATTCATAATTGCAATTGAGAATCAACTTTAGATTCTCCTGTGCATAGTCCATGTATATAAAATAGTGCTAATCAATAACATGCAATAATTTGAAAGTAAATTTTAAAGAAATGCCAGTATGATAATCATATAATGAATATAACCTGTTCTTTCTAACCCTATAATATAATTCTGTTCAGTGGACTAGGGTGGAAAAATACTATTTTTTAACTTTATTTAACTTGGTTCAGGATTATCTAAAACCTGCTTTCTGGTTAACACTAATGTACCAACTGTTTGAACTGAAGTCCAAAAAAAAAAAATTTCTTTTCCGGATGATTTTTAATATTATTTAAATAAATATGAAAAAACATTTTTGGTGTATCATAGTTGATCCATAAATTTCATAACTGTATTTTCTCAAAATGGGCTCTGTGACAGTAGACTGATACTTAAGGGAAATTATTTTTATCCCTAAGGTCATTGAAGGAGATATTGTGATGTCACACTTTGTTGATCTTCCATAACTACATTAAACTATTATTAGATTTTTCTTGTCCTTTATTTAAAAAAAAAATTACAGGAAAAAAATCCCTTTATCTTTGTCAGGCATGTGTGTGGAAAATATCAAAAGTTTTGCCGTGACCTCCTTTTTAAGTTTTTTTATATTCATGAACAGCTTTCCTTTGACTTTAAACTTTAAGATTCAGTTACTCCTTTTCTTGACCAGGTTACAAAGGTAGTTCAAAAATCTAGATATTTTCCCCTAACATCACATTCTTTTCTTTTTTCTTTAATAAATTTGAGAGGGTTGGTGTTTTTCTCTATTATGCATATAGGCACATATACACATAAATATACATATATCTCTGCATACATACCCATTACCTATAGGTTCCTTTCAATTTATATAGGTTCCTATTTAAATAATGAAAATTAGTAATAAGATTCAAATATTTTTATGCCATCAAAATAAGAGATAATCTAGGTAAAGTGATGCTGCTGCATCTAATCTTCATTCTAATTCCAGTTTTGCTCTTAATTCACAAAATCTGTTTCGCCACATGTAAATGGGATAGTATTTTGATGGTCAACTCTATTTCATTGAATCTTCAAATGGGATAAATTATCAAAATTTAACCATTGTTTTAGGTAACCCCTTGAACTTGGTGTCCCTCTTTAAAAGTTATTTTAAACTTTGCTCCCCTTCCCAGGCTTTGAAATGATCTGAAAGAACACCTTATAGCTCCTCAGAAGATATTTGTTTTATACATAACCTAAATATTATGTGTAAGTGCCAAGAGGAAGTCCGTTTCCTTCAACATACAACAGAAGCTATATATTTGTTTGCTATGTTTTTAAAACAGATTCTTAATCATATTTATATATCACTAGGCTAGCCTGAAATTATAAGCAGCCAAATTATATCCCGTTTTTAGTATTTTGAACTTGAAAATTTGGCGGGTGTATGTGGTGTTGTCCAAGAGGCAAATAATACCGGTCTTAAAGTCCTATTAACCTTTTGTGACAATAATTACTAGGTTCAGTTTCCACATAGGATATTCATTCAGATGTAAGACTTTCATAATGAAAATAATAAAAGAATAATTGAACAATTACTGAGTGCTAGGCACTGTGCTAAGAACTATACATATATTCTCTCATTTAATCTTCATGGCAGTTCTATGGCGGTGGGGGGGGGGGGGATGGTGAAGAAGCTTACCCCAGAGTCACTTGATACTTGGTAAAGCCAGAGTCTGACTTTAGAGTCCGTGATCTTAACTATTATAATTACTTATGTAATCTAAATATTTTCAGTCCTTTCTTGCTGTTGAGAGAGAGAAATCATCCTACAACCTGTCATTTTTATAAGTCAGAAATTGCTAAAGATTCTTATTTTGAAGACTCTACTTTTCCATCTACTGAAAAAAAAAATTGTTAATAGCTAACGTTGCCATGGGAGAAGTATGGGCTTTGGAATCAGACTGAACTGGATTTAAATCCTAGTTCTGTTATTTATTATCCACAAAACCCAGTTTCTCTATTTGTAAGGAGATAAAATATGACAAGCCTTAGACTGATACATTCTAAGTCTGCAATAATGGCAGTTTTTGAATATTTTCAAGATGAAACCACTTTGTTTGCCTGTATTTCTGTACTATTTAATTTTAGAGGTGCCTTGCTGGTTTAGTCAGTAGGGCATGTGACTCTTGATCTCAGGGTCATGAGTTCAAGCCCCATGTTGGGCATAGAGATTACTTTAAAAAAAAAAGATATATATGTTATTTGCTTTATGACATCCAGTGGTGGTGCATACATGCTAATCTTAATCACTGATCAACTCCTTTTTAACAATATTAAGGCAGTAAGATTATTAGGTAGTCTATAAACTTTAACAAGTAAGGTTATATATATTGTAGGAATATCAGCATAAGAGTGGATAAATTCTTTAATGTCCTCAAAACTAAACAGTATATTGTGTTCTCCACGTTTCAGTGGTTATATTTTGTAAGTGGTCATTTTCTTCAAAAATATTTCTTCTGTCTCTTTTAATCCTCATCTGTTCTGATTTAAAGTCTATTAAATTTTATTATTACCTGCTTAGTGGCTCTATTAAATAGCTACACTTAACTATGGACCTGTTGTGTGCCAGGATCTTTATATATGTAGTTATTCATCCCTAACAACTTGCAAAAAACTATTGTCTCCATTTTACAAAAACAAAACAAAACCTCTTAGGTCAGTTTGCCCAAGATCCAACAGCTAGTAATATGCCAGATTTGGCATTTAACCTGGGCCTGTCTAATCCATGCCCACTTCTTCCTAACACATCACAGTGCCTCTTAGGTCAATATTCAATGGAACTACTTTTAAAATCACAGTATTTTCTAGAGGCTATCATTTATCCAATAACTTTAGCAGTTTTAAACCGGTCATACCTGTCAGCAAGCAGTACAAAGCCACAATAAATAACAATCCACTGATAATCTGTACAGACTCCCAAAGTCCTATTCAGCATGTTATTTTTAATAATTCATAGTAACCACTGCACAAAATATGAATCTGTTACACCATCAAGATAAGGTGTGTATTGAGTACTGTAATAATATTAGAGATAAAGTATGCATAAACATAGGAGCCCATAGATACTTTTCACTTGAGGGTATATTAATAATAGAAGTGATTAAATCAACATTCTTTATGACTCAAGTGATAGAAATGAATACTTGGGCAGAATAGAGTATGAAATGAAGGGTAGGGATCACTGTATTCTTTACATCTAAAATTGAGATCTATCCACTGTAAAGTATTTATAGCATTTGAGTATACTGAGTATATACCACAAATATGATTTGCCAAAACGTGAGGAGGTACTGATAAGCTATATACCACACACACTAAAAAGCTTGATTTGACTCTCCGTTTATTCAAGGGGGATTTCACACTGCAGGCACTAAGGAACACAGAGAAATTGCTGTTTTTGAGGAAAATATTCTTTGATTCTGGCATATTCTAAAGCAATATTCTCCAATAAAACTTTCTATGATGATGGAAATACTCTATGTCCACAGGGTCCATTTTGGTTGCCACTAATCACATGTGGCTGCCTAACACTTAAAATGTGGCTAGTACACCAAGGACCCACATTTTTATTTTTACTTAATGTTAATTTTTAATAAATTTTAATATGGCTGTGCCTACTGTCTTGCACAGTACAGCTCTGGAGGTTTTATGACTTAGTGATTAGGATAGCCTGCCACCAGTACAATGAACACTTTAAAAGGTAGATGTTTATAGAATCTCTTATAGACTTTTTTTCTTTTCTTTCTTCCCTATTTGAACTTGTTAGTTGGTAAGTATAACATTTGAATTTACAAAGCATTGTCCATTGTGAAACACCATCACCCTAATGCATTGCATGCCCAATTCCATAATAAAACTTGATTACTCTCTTCTCTGCTCCTCGGTTAACACCTGTAAAATTCTGCACTATGTCTCTCATATCTGTTACCTGTCTTCTCTTTTGTTTTCTCACTTCTGCTCGCTACTCCATTTCTTCATTCACAACAAAGAAAGAAATGCAGTGATAGTTCTCTTCCTCCCAAAACCTCCGCTAGAAAACATTGGCCATCTCAAGGTAAACAGCCATGGGAAGGCCTCTCATGATTGGCTGGGAATAAAATGCATTACCAGAAAAGCATGAGCTACCGCTCTTCACCTTCCTTCTGCCATCCATCTGCAGCGCTTCCCTAAAAAGGGCCTTGGATTCATATTCTCCTCTAGGTTTTCCAGTATGGGTCCAGTATGAATCAATTCAGATCTTCAGGAAGAGTAAAGGTGAACAGAAATATATTTCCTTCTCCTTGTATTTTGAAGGCCAACCTCATTTCAGTTAGAAAAGAGAGAATGTTGGAGAAATTACTTTGAAAAGAAAGGCAATTAACCTGGATTCCAAGTAGTGAGAAAATATTTCTTCCCTAGACAATGTATGTGTATTCTTAAGTATAATTATAGATTTCACCTTAAAAACACTTTGAAGAGTTCTACCAAGATAGATTAATATATCTCTATAAGCTCAGTACCCCTTATGGAACAATATTGATTGTTCAATATTCATAACTTTAGTATAGGCACAAATGTCTCATTAATTGGAAGTGTTAGTATGATTATTTCCATGCTTGAAATTTCTGTGAGGTGCTACATTGGCTAACAGACATGCCAAAAGTTTTCCTGCAGAGTGAGGAGATGTATAATAAGCCTGCAAACTGTGTGATGTGTGTGCTGACAGACATAAAGAAAATGTTCATATATATAAGGCCAGAAAATCTAGATTAAAGTACCTTAAAATACACAGAATTTTAAAAATTGTATTGTTCTGTTTGCAGATTTTTTTTTGTTTTTTTGAAGGGCTTTTATTTTTAATGTAATTTTTATACTACATATTTGAGAGCCTACAAGTGTGCCATTCTGTAGCATTACTATATATTAGAGAATCATAATTCATAGAAACAAAGTGCAGAGGTAAAGAACTACTTTGTAAATGACACCAAAAAAATTCCAATTTGATTTTGTGTTTGCTTCTTTTAAATTTTTATATCTATTCTACTGGTTACCTACTTGCTGTACCTAGATAGAGCTAGCTGCAAAAATTTAAGGAAAACAAAAGCATTGCTTATCTCTTCTAATTGGAGACATTTTGAGAGGTCAATTTGTCTTTTTTTATTAAATTTCAGATCAGAGTTCTTGTCCTGCTCCTTCAGTCCTAGGAATTTATCTTGCTCCTTTCTAGAAGCATATTTAAATACCCAGCTATGGGATGGTCTCATAGTGTTGAATTCCTTTTTGGAACCATTTGGTATTGTTATTTTCAAGTTTGAGCAATAAAGGTATACCGTGTACCCCAGAGATAGGAATTGGTCCTTCTCACCTGCTTCTTAAGCCCTTCCTTGCATGCTAATGATGCTTTGGATCCCTGTCCTGTCTGGCCCAAAGATTTTGCTTCCCATTGCTTTTTCCAGGGACCTCTCTGGTTAGTTCTGGCTCTGGAAATAGTGGTTGGTGCTTTCTTGCTAATATGATTACATGAGCCACTATATTACTGGGTTTTAAATAAAATATTAGTAGGCTGTTTTAGCAGGCAAGTTTTGGTCTTGCTTTTTCCCCTCAAAAGACTTCAATAAGGGTTGGGATCCATGCTACAGATCAGTAGCAGAGAGATTATTTCTTATATGATGAGAAGCCAGACGGCTTGTACTAATGCTGTTGCTATTTCCCACAGGCTCCTACCCAGAGATTCTATCCAGTGAAACTCCCACAGCAACGCAGGTAGATGGGGCTGACCTGGCCTCTCCAATGTCTCCTCGAACTAGCAAAAGCCGCATGTCCATGAAACTGCGTCGATCCTCTGGTTCAGCCAATAAATCCTAAGGAGACAAGCAGCCCAGCAGTGTGATCAGCAGTAACAACCTTAGCATGAACATAGTGTTAACCCTTTCAGGCCTTCATGTTTACCATAGCATGCATGTTTCTTCCTGAACATTAATTTTAGAAAACACTGGATTTAAATAATTTGTAACTTAATATTTTAGATTTGGGTTGTTTATTCAGTTGGTACACACACACACACAAAACACTCTAAGCTGCCATATTTTTGGGGGGTGGAGTTTTATTCTAGACCCTTACCTTCCTGGATAATTATGTCTTAAGCAGTTTCACTTTTAATTTTGTGATTAGCTTTGAGCCAAAATATAATTGGACAAATAGTCTCAGTATTTTATTTATCGTGCCCCATTGCAACTTTATGGCTCAGTAAATATATCATTTTTTTACAAATGTAAATTTTTAAATTTAAGCATTTGTAAAATTATAGCAAAATTTGCAAATCTTAATACACAGGTTGTGTATTGATTACTTATGTTACGAAAATAAAACACTTTAAATGGTCTTTTAGCATCTCAAGTTCCCACTGACATAATTTTAGCATTAACTTTTTCTTCCCAAAGCAATGCCTCATTTTGTGGCTGTGCAGATGATGCCATGATATATTTAACACCCAGAAAAATCACTGTGCTGAACTTTGATTTATGTTTAGCTTCCAAATATTTTTCTAATGTTTTGCTTTTTAAATGGTATCACTGTTAAATGCCATTTTTGTTTTTTAAGATTGTGGCCCTGTATTATTGGCTGCTAGATCCTGGTATATCCATGTTCTTTCCTAAACAGCAAAAAGAGGGTAATTGGGGGGATGGAGAGAAAGAAAAAAAAGAAAAAAAAACTTTTCTAATATAAATGTGTTGCTTAAATTATGTATATTTTAAAAGAAAAAGGAACATGACCCAGGAGTCTAAATTAAATCTAATATTATTAATACTGAACTTGCTGATGGAGGTTGGTATTCATTCCACCCTGCAGAAATATTTTCCTACAGTAAATAAGCTGCTCACATTTTGTTCATATTTTGTTTTGAACGGGCATCTCCTAAGGAAATGTAGCATGACATCAGTACTAACTGCATGTGTAAATACATCATACAGGCAAACTATAAAATATAAATTATGTATCATCATTCATGTAGTATCTACAAATTTGTAACAGTGAAAGAAAAAGATATGGTATTTAATAATACAATAAAAATATTCTTATCACTTATGTCCATGAGCATTGTTTTGTCTTTTATATTTCTCTTGTCTATTTGTCTTTAATATATTTTCACGCTTAATAAGCAGAACTATATGATAATGGAGAGATATAAAGCATAAACCTAGGTTGACATAGCAAATCTTAAAAAATAAATTTGAATTCCCTTGTTAGGATACATCCCAACTTCTCAGAGACTCTACCACAGTCACTAAAAATGCAGGCAAATTTTACACCTTCCTAACGGCTGGGCAGAAACTTTACCCAATGCACTTGGTTAAAGCATCAATTAATCTTAGCCTCATGCTTAAATTTTCACTTTGTTTTATGATACACATTTGGGGGAAGGGGGAAACTTTTTGCAGACAGTTTCTAAAGCAGTCTTTCAGAGTTCTGTGCACTTAAGTTTTTTCTTAAAAATAGATTCCTATGAAACTAGAAAATAAAGCTAATGTAAAAGAGTCCGTGAGAACAAGGTTAAACAATATAGACAGTTTCCCACAACCAAGGTGAAGAATTCGAAAAGGAAAATCAAAGTAACCTTACACATTTCTATGGTGCTTTCATTTCTTAAAAATGAACAGCTAATGGACTGATGATATGTAACAAAATGGAGCAAAAATATCAACTTGGAAATAGTAAAGTTAATTTGCACAGCTAACGTGATTTTTTTTTCATCTTCAAATAAAACTTTTTTTTAAGAAAAATATTTTCTGTTGACATTTTTAGGTAGTAAAGTATCTTTAGATTTAAAGCCTTTTGGAGCTCAGTCTGTGCGAGGCATATTTCAAAAGAAATTTTCCCATTGCATTTCTGCACCATTATATTCATTTACAAAATACAATTTTTCCCGTCTGTACTCTGTCTAAATGGGTCACTAAGATTCTAAAGTAGGATACTGGCTTTAAGGAGGTAAGAAATGTGACTGAAAAATAGCCTGCGTTCAATGAAATTCTCAGGACAAACACAGAACACAACAAAGCACCAGCTATGTACATTTATTTGGTGGTAAGCATCTTACAAATAATGGGCTGTCAAGTGATACTCAGCCAGTGTCCCAAACTCTGGCTATTAGAGCATGGGTACAGAGTGTACACTGTGAATATGGTTTACAAAAATTCAAAAACATGTTGCTGCTGAAAAATTGAGTCGCCATTCAGTTCCATAGTGAATTATAGGTATTCACATCTTCCTTAAACTGAACATAGTTTCATATATAACACTGTATGAGATTTACAACAGAAGGAAAACAGTCAAACTTCTGGAAATGGGTTGTGTTTCCAAAAAGCTGTTATTCACAGTTTTAAAGTATCTCTTCCTGAAAACACACCAAAAAAAGCTAAAGGTGAGAATTTTGGGGTTGTCTCAACTCCCTCCAAGTAAAGTAGCACCCTCCCCACCTCCAAGCACTAACTTAAGAATGAACTAATACTTGAGAGAAGGAACGTTGACACACACCCCCACACACACATCCCTCAAAAGCGCAAACATCCTCTCATATTTCTGCCCTCAGGCACAGGTCTTGAGTGTTTCCCCACCCCCCTGTAAGTTTGGCACCAATCACATAACTTTCAATTCACAGAATATACAATGCAAGATATCTGACCCTATTGAGACAGAAACTACATAGGCGCCTGCGATGGCAAGAGAAAAAAAAAATTAACGACTACCACTTTTGGTAGCTAGAATCCTTTGTAGATACTGAGACATGCACGCATTCACTACGACTTTCCATAGGAATTACAAGTCATATAGGATTCGTTAGGGTCTCCAGAGTGAGGGGGGAAATCCTATTTTCGTGGGGAAAGCAAGAAGGCTTTTTAAAAGTGACAGTCTTTGACCGCGAATGTTTACACCATATACATACCTGCTCTAGAGAGGGATTTTACATTTTGCTGTCCGCTTCTCTGGCGGAACATTGACTACCGGGAGTTTTAGGAGAGAAAAAACATACGCAGGAAAGAGGGTAAACTTGCAAATTCAAGAAATCCCCACAGAAATTCCCATGATCTGTTTCCTCCAAGGCCAACCGCACAATCTTCCTCATCTCTTTCCTCAACAGCCAGGCCGCAACGGCATCTGCAGCAGCAGTACCTGCCGACTTTCTGAGGGGTGGCACTTATTTATGTGCCGGGTCAGCCCCGGGGAGCTAAAAAAGGTGGAAGGGCAGTGCTTGCACGAGAAAATTTGCTGAGCACTCCCGTCGGACGCTCCGCCTGGGCCCGGCGCTTCAGCGGGCGCCCCGGCCAGAGCAGGCAGGAGCAGCTCCTCGCGGAGCGCGTGCCACAGCCGGTGCTTGTCCCTGATGTCTGCGGACGGGAAGTGCGCCCCGCACAGGGGGCAAGCGAAGGCCAGTGGGGCGCCGTGTTCAGAGCCAAAGCCCGGGGCAAGCGCACGAGCGGCGCCTGCCTCGTGAGTGCCTAGGTGCTTGCGCAGATAGGCTTGGCGACGGAACTTTTTGTGGCAATACGGGCACATGAAGATCTCGGGTCCCCCGACACCACTGGCACTACCTGACCCAGGCACCCGGCGCCCTAACACCCCCTCCGTATGGGGGACCTGAGGCAGTGCTGGCTCGGGATGGGACAACACCTGGAGGCCCTGGTGTGGGGCGCTGTCCTGGTGCTGCGCCTCCCTGGAGCTGTCCCTCGCCGGCAGGTGCTGATCCGCCGCTCGCTCTGCCCGGCTGTTCTCCTTCCCCTCCGCCAGGAAAGATGCAACAGCCCCAGAGTCTGGGGAGGTCGAGGAAGACGAAGGAGGCGGCTTCCCGTCGGCTGAGGAGACTGCGGCAGCATTTGCCGCTGCGGGGCGCGGTTTGTGCCAGCGGCGATGGGAGGCGAGGTTCGCAGGGCAGCTGAAGACCTTGTCGCACTCGGGACAGCGGTACTCTACGCGTACGATGCGGGAGCAGCGGTGCTGGGCCAGAGCGAAGGGGTCTGCGTACTGCTCCTTGCATAGCTGGCAGATAAACTCCCCGAGTGGCGTGCGGCTGCCCCCGGGGCCCCGGGACGGCGCTCCGGGCTCCTCCTCCTTGATCTTCAGGCCCAGGACAGGGGACGTGGTCACTTCATCGGCGAAGCTCAACTTCCTCATGGCCTTTGGCTTCTTGACTCCGGCGGCCGCAGGTCCAGACGTGCAGCCCGGAGGTGCCTTGGCACGGCGCTCGTTGCCAGCAGCCCGCTTCAGGCCGTGCAGGGCGGCCGAGAGGGGCGCGGGGTCTGGATGGAGCTCCGGCTCTGGGAACGGCGCCCGGATCGGCAGCAGGAACTGCTCCCCCGAGGTCGGTGCAGCTGCTGGCGCCGCCGAGCAGGAGAAAGCAGCCACCGCGGCGGCACCCCCGGGGAAGGACTCTGCAGAGACGGGTGAGCTGAGGCAGCGCTCCAGGAATGCCCGGCGCAGCTCCGCGCCCGCCGGCTTCGTGGGGCTGGGGCTGGGGCTGGGCCCGGGACCCTCCCTACCATCCGCCCTCCACTCCGCATCACCTTCCTGCCCGCCCTCCCCCGGGCTCACCCTAGCCGCCCGACAGGGCGACCCCGACAGTTCGCCGGCCGCCGCCGCCTCCTCCAAGGTGGGGGCTGCCACCTGCTGCGCCCCGGGCTGGGGGGCACTGGCAGCCTCCTCGGGGAAGGGCGGCGCCCCCTGGGGCCCCAGCAGCGGGAAGACCCGCTCAGCTAGGCGCACTCGGTATGAGCCGCCCGTCCGTTTAGTTCGCTTTACCAGGAAGCCCCTCGGCATGGTGGAGTCGGGAGTGCTCAGGGGGGCAAAGAGAAAAGGGGGCGCCGCGGGGGCTGAGAGCCGGCCAGCGCCGCAGCTACCCGAGCTTCGCCACAGCCGTCATGCGTGGGCCGCCTTTATAGCTGAGACTCGGGCCGGGGCACCCCCGGTGGCCTTCAGGCTGGGCCGGCCAATCAGGAGTGGGAGCGGGCGCCAGGGGCGGGGCTTCCGCGCGGCTGGGCTCGCAGGGGCCCCAGAGGCTGGCTGCGCCCCGCGCCCCCGCCCGACCTCCGAGCGGCCTCAGCGCGGCCCGGCAGCGCCGCCTCCCCCCGCCGCCCACCGCGCGGACGAAGATACGAAAAGGTAAGGTCCAGGGTGCGAGGAAGCTCGGCAGTGCCTGCCGCAGCTGCCTCCGGGGACCGTCCGGGGAGCCAGGCGGAGAGGCCGCCCCCCTGCCGCCCCCCTGCCGCCCCCCTGCCGCCCCCCTGCCGCCCCGGCGCGAGGGGCTCTGATGCGAGCCGAGAGGGGGGAGCCGAGAGGAAGGGTCCCCGGGCGGCGGGTGAACGGAGGCAGCTGGCTGGGGGTCCGCCGGGAACGGGTTAACGCGCCCTGCCCTTCGTGGACTGAGGAGAAGCTGCGACAGAGCGGCAGGGCGGCTAAATCCACCGCCCTGGGCCTACACTTGACGGTGGCGGCACGTCTGCCGTCCGGTATCGATCGCCACTGCGCGCGTCTGCGACACTATGAGAATTCATCTGGGAAGAAGGGCTCTCGGGGAGGGCGCGCGTGCCGGCGAGCCCCGGGAGCTCAGGACGCCCGCCGGTTTCTGGACCAGGTCCTCAGGGCTTATAAATGTCCCCTCCCCGACGGGAAAAAGGAGTAGGGAGGGGGAAAGTAGGACCTAATTTTCGACTGTCCTCAGATAAAGTGGTTTCTCCGTTCACACCTTCCACTTGTACTACCCAGAGACATGACTTAGTGCCTAACTGACCCGTTTAGCATGGAGCAGATTGAGTGAGAAATACTGGCAGAATCGGGATTACATCTGCTTCCCCCTGCACAAGTAATACTTTACAAAAGGTGTGCCGGGGCCCGGATTTAATAGATTTTCATCCAGGACTCTGTAATGTGCCCAGCACTGTTTTAAGCACTGGAACAGATTTGAAAGTTTGTAATCATAGCTGAACTATGAAATAATTAGAAAATATGACAGATGTATAATAAAGTGCCAAAAGTCTGTAATACAACGTGAGGATAGGAAAGAACTCGAGTCTCCTTCCTAGATCAAACTGGAGAAAAAGGCTAAATGTGTTTTTAAAGTAGACTATAGTATAACAGATGTAGTCGCCAGTACTACACATTCTCTTCAAAGGGAATGAAGTGTTTTTACACGGAGTGCATTATTCTGGAGAAGACCTGGATGTAATTAGATATTTGTTCATCATTAACAAGTTTTAGGCATTCTACTTAAGTAATCTCTAATCTTTTCATACATACACATCAAACAAAGGAGATACTGTTACTCTCCTTTTTCTTTTTTTTTTTTTTTTTTTGATGAGGGGATTGAGCCATAGAAGTCAGATAAGTAACGTGCAAAAGTCACCTAGAGCTCAGATTCAAACTGAGTTCTGACTAATCCCAAAGCTCAGACTCTTTCCACCATACCAGTGGCTTCAAACGATTTTTTTTTTTCTGGTCGCATCCCACAATGAGAAATATATTTTATGGTACACACATGGAACTGAAACAGAAATTTCACGAAGTAGTATTTAGTTTAACTAGGTACAATGCATTCTTATATTTTCTATGCAATTATATTTTCTTTTGAAAAATGCTGATCGTAGCAAATTGATAACTTACTCATGGATTAGGACCCACAGTTTGAAAAACACTTTCATTATGGTGCTTCCCATTAAAAAGCATGACATCATACAAAACTAAGTTAAACTTGATACTTTATAATCAAAATTAACATTCTGGATCACAAAAAAAATCATTCTGGATCACTATGTAAAATATTTGAGTCCTTTAATAGTGTTCACAAATTTAGTTTCCCCAATTGATCATTTCTGACACATCAGTTTATGTATGACTTCTACCTCAACTTCTCAACTCCTCCTTTCCTCTTTCTCTTAATGGCCAGGACATATTGTGTGGTGTCGAAAATTTTAGGTAATATTTTAATACTTTAAGATAGCCCCTTTCCAAGAGAGGCTTTTCCTCAGGTGTATGTAGTACTTTGGAAGAATTGCCATAATTGCAACCATATGACCTAGCATTTCTACATGTAGGTAATATACACACAAAAAAAATTGAAAACAGGAACTGAAGCACACACTTGTATACCAATGTCCATCATAGCATCATTCAGAAAAGCCCAAAGACGGAAACAACCCACTGTCCCCAAACAAATAGGTGTATAAACAAAATGATGTATATACAAATGACAGGGTATTATTCAGCCGTAAAAAAAGGAAGTGCTGATCCATACAATATAGATGAATCTTGAAAACATTATGCTAAGTGTGAGCCAGACAAAAAGGACAAATATTATAAGGTTTCACTTATATTGAAATATCTAGAATAGGCAAATTCATAGAGAGAAAGTAGATTATTGGTTATCAGGGGTTGGGGAAATGGGAACTTACAGTGGAATAGTTACATAATTTCACTTTGGAGTGATGAAAAAGTCTTACTAATCAATAATGGCTAAAAAATAATGGTAATTGATTTTATTTTATTTTAATTATTTATTATGAACGTTATCAATGCCACTGAATTGCAAACTCAAAAATTGCTAAAAGGGGCATTTTTGTTGCAAATATTTTACAATAAAGACTTTTCACACACAAAGCAGAAGGCAAAATCATGGCATATCAGACTGTGAAAAGAATGTAAATGACCAGGTCACTTAATTTGGACCTTATGACACAGGATAGGCACAGAGAGTCTTTTAAAGTTGTTGTGGGTTATTTTTTTTGTTTGTTTGTTTGTTTGTTTTTTAAGATTTATTTATTTACTTGAGAGAAAGAGAGCATGCTCAGAAGGGGAGAGGGAGAGAAGAAAAAGATTCCTCAAGCAACTCCCCACGGAGCCCAAGGCAGGACTCAGTCCCATGACCATGAGATCATGACCTGAGGTAAAATCAAAAGTTGGAGACCTAACCGACTGAACCACCCAGGAATCCCCACACCCCGTTTTTTTTGAGAGTCATTTAAAGTTTAAAAGTGAGGGAGTAATATTTGCTTTTGAAATTACATGAGGAAAAGTATCTTTGGCTTAACTTTCTGCTAGCGAGAGAAAGGGAAACATAGATAGAAGACTCTCCTCTCAGTTCTTCTCCTTCTAACCAACTGAGAATGTGGGTCTGTTTCTAGAAAAAATAAAATGAAGGAAACTTACAAAGTCAAAAGGGCAGTTATAATGGGTGAATATTTAATGAAGTGATTGTCAGAGATCTAATATTCAATACATGGATTTTTTTTAAATAAATAGTGCTAGATGGACAGCAAATGTGTCATCCAACTATCCTTCTGTCTTCCATTGTACATCTATTCAATCACCTATCAAATAATTGCTGTGTATTCTTTCGGTCAAAGTTCAGAAACATAGCGTTCAAGAAGTATCTCCCCTCTGTTATTTTCAGGAAAACAAACTTGTATAGGGGAGGGCCTGGCCCACCTGGAGGTGTTATTTTTCCTGATCACCATTTTACAGAAATTTACCCCCAACATCTCTGGTTGACCTGAAGGACATCAACATCACCCCAAATGCGAAAGGGTCCACTTCTAATGCTGTCCTTTACCAGCTCTGCTTCATTCCTGTATAAGGAAAGGCGAGCTGTCTGGTGCTGCTGTGCTCTCGTCCTACAACTTCCTCTCCTCCAGAGGCATTGTTACCCCCTTCTTACTCCTCCTCCTTCCTGGCAATGTGTTCTCTGACCTCTCGTCTCTATTCCCCTGTTCTCTCAATATCCAGTGACGGTCTAACCTCCATCAAAGGAGTTTCCTGACTTTCACCGCACAAATGTAGCTGCTATTCTCCATACTCTGTAACACTGGCCATCACATAGGCTAATACTTATCTAATATTGAGTTAGTACTACGTTATCACTATGAAACAGGGCAACTAATGGCTAGTCTATAACAACACACAGCCATTTCTCCTCTGTGTGTTCAAAATAAAATGCATAATTTTTTTCAAAAATAAAAAGAATTGCTGTCAAGTATTTTCTAAGAAATCCAATAGTTCCAGAAGGTCTCCCTCTCCACACACCTCTCTCACCCTGAGTATAGTTTGGTAACAACCTTTCTGGAAATCAGGTGTATATCAGAAGTTTTGAAAATATGTATACCCTTTAATTCACCAATTGCTTTTTTAGTAAATTATTTAAAGGAAGGACAAAGATTTATGCACAAGACTATTTATCACGTCATTTATAATTATAAATAATTAGAAACTACCTTGAGTAAATCCTGGTCAACTATGCTATAGATGAGTAGGTAGCCATAGAAGTGCAATGATGGACAAATACGTATGCCATAACAGTAAGCAAAAACACCAAGGTGCAAAGGTGCAGGTACAATAAATAACTCAATTATGAAACAACAAAATGAATAAAACAAAGCAATATGCCAAAATGTTGTTGGACTTGCCTCTCATTAATAGGAATTTTAGTCTTTTGTTATTTTTTTAAACTTTGTAAAAATTTTGACAGTAAGCATATATCACTCTGATAATCAGAAAAAAAAATAATATTAAAGCTACCTTAAGTCCTTTCTGGTGTTAGATGCAGTACCCCGCCCCTAGGACACTGTCCGAGGTGACAGTGCAACATGAAATGGGAATTGCACAGAAAAGTAGACTTCTCCAGAGCCACCTGTTTGAGCTCTGGTCCCAGAAAAGAAGATAGAAAAATGGCTAAAAGGTAGGAAAGACAAAGAACTTAAGTAGGTATTCTCCAGTTAGGTATAAATTTAAGTAAATCCTTCAAGGTCTGAACACTCTCCATTTTTTCACTT